GCTCTCTCTGGTAATCTATCCTTCTAAATCTAGCCACCTTGATCTCCTTGAACCTGTAGCTTTGTCTCCTCAATTCAGGGAACCCAATGGGCTCTGAGTTCCCACGTTTCTGAGCCACAGCCTGGAAAGTCTTTTAAGCCACCAGTAAGCTGAAGCGATGTTAAGGCTTACCAACTTTGTTTTCTGACTCTCAAGGACCACTAACCTTCTTTGCTTGATATCCTGTATCTTGAAAGCCATGGTTTCATTTTTTTTTCTGACCTTTTGGTTGTTTGAGGCACAAGATTAAGCCTGGGCCTTATACTCCCTGGCAGAAAGTAGAAGTCTTCGTGCAGGCCTTGGGACTGGCCTTGGTGCTGGTCTCTTTATTCAGGGTACCAATTAGGTAGACCTAGGCAGCTTTTGACTCCCACTTTGAAGTTTTTTAGCACTTCTTTAGTACTACAGCCCTCATAACAATTCAATTCCCAGAGGTTAAATGAATGTGCTCTACTATTATCTTGGAATTTACTCCCAAGCTGCTGACACCCAGTTTTCAAGTTTGACACTGGCTGTTTTGAAGTTAGCACCTGTGCAGGCAAAGGTAACTATGGCAGGATTACTGCCTTGATGAGAAAGAATATAAGGCACCACTGATTGTGAGATGTGTTCTGATTTCATGTATCTTAAAATGTGAAATATAGTAGAATTAGTGAAATATGACTTTTTTACTCAAGTGACAATAAGACTTTCAGGCTTATTGAGTGCAAGCATGAAGTCAAGAATGGCTCCAAAGTTTTTGATCTATGCAAAACTGGGGGCTGGGGTCGGGGAAGGGAGCATCTTGTTAGACCTATTCAGTATATATCCTCCTTCGTGTAATTACTGATAAATTGCAGGGGCGGGAGGGGAGGTTTGAAGGGCTCATCTTATTTTATTGGATATATTTTAAGAGTAATAAAGTTGGCATGAAGATTAAAAGTATACTATTAAAACCTCCTCAAGATTGGCAGAATATTTTTATATGTAGGCAATTGTATTAACAACGGCTCTTTCATTTAAAAAATAACAATAATGATAAGATTGAGTATCAGCCCCAAAGGCTTAAAGCAGAGTCTTTAAAAACAGGAACTTATCAACAAGTCTAAAAATAAGATAAACTCAGGTATCAGAATAGGAAATACTGTCTTTTCAAAATTTATCATTATTATTATCACCTTTGTCTGATACAGCAATGAATCACACAGAAACATTCACATATGACAAGGTTAAAAAGTGAATCTAGTACACTCTATAGAAAGATGTGGATATATATACATATCCATGTACAGAGAGAGAGAGAGCCCGTGAAACCACGCTGTAGATTTTTTTTTAGCAAACTCCTTTAGTCACAATCACTGAGAACAATTTTCTTGAAAAAGTAACCCATATATGTGAAATAACAATATTTATGATTTCAATGGAAAGCTTGTCATTTTAACAGAGAACGGTTACCTGATAGCTGAAGCAGGTCTTTTATAGTTGCTGATCGAAAGCCAGAATAGATGAGGACCAAAGCACTTGAACATAGAGCAGAATGCCTTTGTGGTAAAGGGCTCCCAGAGGACTGTGCAGCACAGTGGGGGAGGATACAGACACCTGCCTTGCCAGCCATACCCACTGAATTAATTACTGAGGGGCAGGCGATGAAACCAGGCTGCAGGCACATTCTTGGATGTTTTAAACAAACACCTTGCTGTGCACAAATACAATAGTTACCAAACAGAAGAATCCCCAACCCATCCCTAATCATTGAGAATTTACCATAAAATAAGTATTAATATATATATATATATATACAACTCAAAGACTAGCTTTTTTCAACATTCAGAAAATGAAATTAATTTTTTCCATCTTGCTTTTTGTCAAGTTATGACCATGATATATTAAAATATATTCTGAGATGCCTCAGCTGGTGATAACAGATGATACATAAGAAAAGATTTCCCTGCATGAACACATTGGGGACACACTGGGTTAAATATAGTAAAATGAGTTTCTTTGGTTCAGGGCTTCTAAGAAACTAAGTAATGTGCTTAGGGAATTTCCATGAACAGGGAATAATATGTGGTATTTTCAACACTTTTAATTTTAGGTCCCTTTTTCAGGGACTGTCTTGTAGGGCTCCTGCTTTGTCTTGTTCGTCACTGAATTTCTGGTACTTAGTATGGAACCTGACACTAGGAGACACTCAAAAACATTGTGGAATAAAAGAATGAATTTGCTGGTCACCTGATGACCTGCCAGTTTTCTGTTAGCCCTTTGCAGAACTGTAGAAGAATAGGGCATGACTATCCTACCTCTGTTGCTATTTTCTGTTGCTATGTGCTGCTGATGGTTCTAGCTTGCACCAGCTCAAGTGGCTCCATATTTCTTTTTGATCAGGCAAGTGCAGAGTGACACTGGGAGACATTCCTTTCTTGCCTGGTCTACTCTCTCCATCCTACCCTCTTCCCCCAACAATCTTGGAGGTTCCTCCCCAGCTTCCTCGGGGAGCATACAGAGGTTACTGCATCTGCCAAAAACTAGATCAATGCCCGAGCATGTGGAATGAGTCACTTCTTAGCAGAATAAGAGGGAGGCTGCCTGAGCTGTGTGTGGGTCAGAAGGCTGCTGCAGAGCATTGCAGACCAAACAAAAAGCAGTCCTTTTGCTTGCACTTTATTTGACCTCTGGATAAACAAAGACTTTCTATTTCTAGAAATCCCATTGTTTTAACTGCTTTGAGTTTCTTTTGTAAACTTAAATATCCATGGCTTTATGCAAGGCCTTTAGAGGTCTGTGAGCCCAGTCTGGACATTCTTTGTTCCTTTTCTATATAGTCCCCTTACATGTTTTGTTCTTGTAAGTCACAAATTCTTAACTATCTGAAATTCACTCTTTTCTTTAACAATGTATAACATTAAAAACAACTAGAAGGTTGTAGTGTGAATAGAATACAATTTGCAGAGAACTTGATAAATGTAGCCTCTTTTGGGAAGGAATTGAGGGCATGTGATTCTTCTTTCTCATTCAGCTGGCTATGTGGTAGGTGTCTTGAGATATTGAAAAACATCATAAAAATAAACAGTCTTTGTTTTTAAAGAGATTTGGAATAGAGGAAGAAAAAGAATATTTACAAAATACTGTGTTCCAGGCTGTACATCTATTTGTCTTTATCTATAACCATACCTATATCTCTTCACAACAATATTATGAGGTAAGTGTTGTTTCCTCTGTTTTGCAAATAGAATAACTAAGGATCATAGAAGTTAGGGAACTTCTGACATTCATTTATTGAAATTAAATTCGCCCAAAGATAAGATAATATGTTGAAATGCTGAGAAATTGGCTACCTTTTGAGGTTATTTTACTAAAACTAAATTTCTTCAGTGATAGGGTGATAATGTATAATATTGAAAAGGTATTTGTGAAAAAACAGAGAATTCTAAAGAGTATCTGAATATGCTGGTGAGTTTAAAATACCTGCTGTCCCTTGTCTTCCCTTTTGACCTTGGGCTACTCATTATACTTCTCAAAGGCTTCATTTCTTATAAAGTGGGGATGGTGGCATCTTCTTTGCCTATATTAACAAGTTTTGAGTAAAGGAATAAGTAGTATAATTTAGGTGAAAGTGAAACTCTTCAGTGCCATGTGAATATAAGGTACTGTTGTCACAAATGGAGCACTAAATAAGAATGCCAGTGATGTGTTTGGGGTACATGCAACATACCTTCAATTTTTTTAATGTAGGTTTTGGGACAGCTTCCAATGAGTTTAGGCTCTATTTCAAGCACAGGAAAAAGTAGTCCATTTTTAAATGATCTGTGATTCAACCATTGTTTTCAAAACACAGGGTAGGGGGAAATATAAATAACCATTTACCAGACACTCACTATATGCAGTATTTGATGCAAATAAAGGATATTGAAAAGTGGGAAGGCAAGATTTTTGCCCTAAGAGGGGCTTAAAGAACATAAACAAATATTTATTTCCACTATTTGTATCTGTCCTACTTATCCCAGACAGTTATTTTGCTAGAAAGAAATCCAGATTTTGATATAATAAAGTCATCCTTGGAACATTAGAATTTCCTTTTGTAATGTAACACAATTGCTCAAATTTAGAGAGATTTGGCAATATCAGCCCAGGATTTAAAATCAGAAATGAAAACTTGAAAATCCATTTTTTTTAATATATCAAAATTCATATATTTTTTAAAGATCAGATATCTTATGAGCTGGCTAGTGACCAGCTTTTTTAGCATATTTTATTTTGAGCAAAGTAAAAATTCTGATGCCCAAATATTGGTGTTCGCATTTCAAAGACCTAAAAAAAGATTTTCCTGCAACACCAATTCAGAAGAACCTATGTACCCCAATATTCACAGCATTATTTACAATAGCCAAGTGCTGGAAACAATCTAAGTGCCCATCAGTCAATAAATGGATAAAAAGAACTGTGATACATTTACACAATGGAATAGCAGTCAACAGAAAGAAAGAAGGAACTCCTACCCTTCAGGACAGCATAGATGGAACTGGAGAGCATTATGCTAAGTGAAATAAGCCAGGCAGTGAAAGACAAATACCGTAAGATCTCACCTTTAAGTGTAACCTAATCAACAAAACAAACAAGTGAGCAAAATAGAGCCAGAGACATGGAAATAAAGAACTGACAGTGAGGAGAAGGGATGGGGGAGAAGGATATGGGGGTGGGGGGTAGGAAAGGGAAGGGTCAAGTCAAGGAACCATATGTAAAAGGCCCATGGACAAAGACAACGAGGTTGGGGAGGATTGAATGTGGGAGGTGGGTAGGACAAAGGAGAGTAATGGTGTTGGGGGGTGGGGGGAATGGGGACAACCATAATTGAACAACAATAAAAAAAAAGATTGTCATTTTGCTGGGTGGGGGTTGGTATGTAAGGCAGTGCTTTTAGAGGAGATGATCAGTAATTTTGTATCAAACTGTGTGCTTTTAAGACTTTGCTTTGTTCTCTCTAGTGGATGACACTGTGGTTGCTATTCCCTATGGAAGCAGACATGTTCGCCTTTTCTTAAAAGGACCTGATCACTTGTGTAAGTAAACTCAGTTGTTTTCCTGTGGAAATTGGGAATTTTGGGCATTATTATTTATTTACTTTTTGTTCCCAGAATAGATTAAAATACAGAAGTACAAATCTTTCCACTCCATCATAATATGATATTTTGAATGCTTCTGTTTATCTTTTGGTTGCTTGATGAGATAGCAAAAAAACTCTGTGGTAATTATCTCTAACCACAGTCATCCTGAAAAACACAAAATAGATGCTCCCTGTAGATTGTTCATGAGTTAAGCACATGTTTATGCTTTTGTGAATGTTATTTCTCACTTCTTCTCTTCCAATCAATTTCAGTCTTTTTCTTGCCTCACCTCTCATTTTTTTTCTTCTTCCTTCCAAACTTTCCTCCCTCTCCTTCCTTCTTTCTTTTATTCTTCCTACTTTCATGTTTCATTACTTTATCAATTCAGAGGAACATATAGAAACACCAAACAACATTAACCCTGTGGCAGTTAAAGAAAACCATTTTGGTATGGTTAAGCATCCCACATATTAAAGACAGTATAAAGTCCTAATTCCTTGAAGATAGCTATTGGATTCGGGATCACTAAAGGGGCGCTCATAACCCAAAGATCAAATGGTAGCATGACTCCACCAGAGTCTGTAGAAAAACTGACCTTCAGGCATGCCCACCCAGCAGTACACAGCCACATCTTTTTAAAAAGTACCATTTATTGCTGCTTTGGCATAGACCTGTAAATTATAAACAAAAAAATTATGGGCTGTGAACCAGAGTAGCGGTAAGAGAGGATATGCTGGTATTTTCTTCAAAATTCAGTTTCCCTGAAAGATTTCACTGAATGATCCCTTGAGCATTTCTCTGATTATTCCCCTGAGCATTTCTGTGATTGTTCCTGGGTTCCTACAAAACCATCTATCATCTTTTGCTCTTTTCTTTCCTCCCACACATGCCTAAGAAACCAATTTAGGTAGCAAGCACTATCTTTTGGCAATTGGAGTATGGCTGAAATCATTCCAGAAAGGCAAACAAGATGAAGACAAATTAGAGCCTGGGAAAGTTCAGATAGCCTACCATAGTCTTCTTAAAATAAAAATAGATACATTTTATGGGAGAGGTGGGGTTTGAAGGGTCATGAGAAGTAAAAGAATAAGTAAGGTACAGTTCAAGCAAAGCCAAAAGATGCTAATAAGACACCTTATATGGATCCAAGTTTTTTCCTGGCCCTGAACAACCCCCAAAATATAGTATTCACATGTCAAAGGATGATACATGTGTGTACACTCTTACTACTTAAATGATTTGTTTTTCCCCTTGAGAATTGGACCAAGGTAATTGCCGCACTCATAAACAGGGACAGGCTAAATGAAACATCAGACCAAGACTGTCACCAGGTTGAGGACTAACTCCTCATTGGAGAAGAAAGAACCTAAAAGAATATAGATAGATATAAGAGGAGAAATCATTCTCTAAATCTATTAGCCTCGCAGATTTCCTAATTAGGAGATCACTAAGAAGTTGGCAAGTTGGCCTTCTTTGGTTTAATGGTCCCGAGGATTTGTAAAATTGCAAATGATATTCATAGATGATGAAAAACAAAATAGAATCTGCTTTTTTCCCCCAGCAGGCATACTGCTCAGAACATATGTATAACTAAGGAAGTTTTTGTTTTGTTTTTGTATTTGGAGTATACTTCAAAATAAATGTGTGAGTAAACGATGCCTTGTTTCTCTTTGCAACCCTTTTGCCCTTCATTCCTTGCATCTGGCCCAATGTGGGATGAACCCTAAATATTTTGGGCCAAACTGGAACAAGACTACACAGTCTGGTCCAGCTCATCTTTAATCAGAAGCACCTTGAGAAGGACACCTGGGAGGCCTGGGGATAAAATTGAATCACATGCTTAGGTTAGGCTTGGATCTCCAAGATTTTTCCAAAACTAAGTTAATTTATATTCTGGAGATATCTCCACAAACTCATGTAAATACGTGTAAGGCAGCCAGAGGAATGAAGCTTAAAAGAAAGAGAATCAGTGCGATTACTTTCCTCTGATGACAACGACTGTGGTTCGCGCACTCAGGCATTTCCTCTGCGCACCTTATGCTCTCCTGTGAGGACTCCCTGCTCTGGGACAGGGGAAGGAAGCCTGACCTACTCCCACAGAAGGGCTACACAGACTTCACCTGAGGGTCATGGACATTTATTTGGACACCAATATTTCCACCTGTTGGTGTTCCTTGTAGTATAGAACTTGATTTAGACAACATCTTGAATAATTTATAATTTAAAATACAAATACTTTAGGCACTTTAGTACCTCCAGGGACCTTAAAATTATCCCTAACCACAGAACCCAAGTCTGTAAAACATATAAGAGGGGAGTCAGTCTGACCGAATGTAGGATAGAAGACCTAGGGCTTCACCCAGTCTCCCCATCTTCCTTCTTAAGACCCCTGCCAAAACCGAGGGCTCCTGTTAGTTTTAGCCTATCTATCTTCCTTTATGCAGTGGCCAATTATTCTAAACTACCTCTCAATCACATGAGAATTTCACCTGCTATGAAATATACATCATAATAAGCATCTTCCCCTAGCAAATTAGCATCTTTTGCTTGATTTCCTACAACAAAAGATGCTTGACAGTATTTGTCATTGGCCAATTCAGATTGGAATGTTCCAAGAATCAGAAGTTCCTTCTGTATTCAGCACTTATGAAATAGTATATGCGCACACAATACTAAATGAACTACCAAAAATGATTTTAAAAAGAAAGAAAATGAAAAAGGACAGTTAATTCGTTCCCTGTCCATAAGTCATTATAGTTTCTTCATTTTGAACAATAGTACACATGCAACAAGTAACCAGAAAGTATAAATAAATACAAGGCAATGAATAAATGCAAAGTCACACAGGTACTGAGGGAATTCAGACATCACCCTGGATCTGACAGAGCACAAAGAAAAGTATAGGGTATTCTAGGCCAACGGCAATAAGGACTGACATCAATAAGATATGTATGGGAGATGGTGTAGTCAAAGGAATAGGATTGTAATCATGTGGTCCAGGGAATCAAAGGTGTTTTGACAGAGAACCTTGAACGTTTGGATAATAAGTTCTAAAATTATTTCGTTTGCAGCATAAACTCCTATGTAATCTAAAGTGCCTATATATTTTGTTTACATCACAATTTTAATTGTGTCAGCCATGTAAAGAATGATTCTTCCCCCCTTACTTACATAGTTCTAGATTCTGTTCCACGGAAAGTACTTGCATGTGGTCTGTTGTGGCCCTGGGAGCATCTTTCTCTTCTCTTCATGTGTTTGATTTTGTAGATCTGGAAACCAAAACCCTCCAGGGAGCTAAAGGGGAAAACAGTCTCAGCTCTACAGGCATCTTTCTTGTGGACAATTCTAGTGTGGACTTCCAGAAATTGCCAGACAAAGAGGTCCTGAAAATGGCTGGACCACTCTCAGCAGATTTCATTGTTAAGGTGAGCCCATTTAGTTACCTTGTTTTCAAGCCACCTCCAAATGGGTGGTATTTATAATCTCCTTACGAGAGAGACTTTAAGTTTTGACATAGATTTGGAAAGCCTATTATCCAAGAAATGTTTAATTTAAGGGTGTTGAGCTACATCCTGGACTTTACAGGAACACATGACTTTTTTTAAGGTCCTAGGAAAATCCTAATCATGTGTGTATTTAATTTAATAAAAGCACCCCAACCACAAAGCCAACAAATCATTAGTTGGGGGATATAAAACTTTTTTTCAAACAAGTTTGGATGCAGTCACTGACTCATATAAGGTGTCCTCAGTCAAAGAGAAAGACAAACTAATGATCCATAGACTTGGTCATGCTTCCTTCCAATTCAAGTTCTGTTTTCTCTTGTACTGGCAACAAGACGAAGTTGTTTCCTTCTATCAGAGCTTCCCTTACTCTTCAAGGTAATGTAAAACACATTGCTGGAAGCAATGTACATATTCTGTAGGAAAAAAATGTACACACTATAAGAACATTTGGGAATCACAATAAAATAAAACATATTTTTTCCTTCAGTAGGTCAGAAGGACCTGAAGGATTTCAGCTGTAAAGCTGTAAAACTTGTAATGTGTCCAGGACTCCATAAATTTTTCATCATGGGACCTGAAGCCAGAGGACATTTGATTTAAGCTAAGGCTTGATGACCCCATGGCAGCTGGAAGTAAGAATGCATACAGGAAAATGTGATAGGCAGTGAGGTTGGATGGGAGAAGGGTTCCAGAGTACTGTTCTGTCTCCATCTGCATGGTAGTTTTTTTTAATCCAGTCCACCTGCCAGCCACATGAACATGAGCAAGAAGCTATAAACCATCAGAGATAGCTCACAATAGAAATGATGCTGTAGTTAGTTAAGTAATTTCAGTTAAACAAACAAATACAGGCATACCTCAGAGATATTGCAGTTTTGGATCCAGACCACCGCAATAAAGTAAGAATCGCAATAAAGCGGGTTGTAATCCTTTGGCTGATGGAGGGTCTTGCCTTTAATTTGAAAAAAAAAAAAACCACAACACCTGTGAAGTAAAATAAAGCAAAGCACAATAAAATGTGGTATGCCTACACAGTAAAAAAAACCAAGAGGTGTCTTTATGTTTTGAAGCCCTTACTATAGTGTTGAATAAACCATTTATACTAATTTCCCTAGTGCCCTAGGGACCTTGCAAGGGTTAATACATGTATTGACAATATAACATTGAATTCAAGTAATATTATTCACATTTGAATAGATCACTGCATTGCTGAATGCATTTCATATATCCAGCTGCCTTCTACACATCACCACTTGGATGTCCCACAGACACAATGAGCTCAGCATGTCCAAAACTGGGCCTGTCTATCCCCAAACACCTACTTTATTTTCTTTATTTCTTATCTTGTGGAATAATGCACTGTTTACCCAGCCGAGTCAGAAAACTTGCGTTCACACCCATTTCCCCATCTCCTATACATCACTCATTAGACATTAAACTTTGTCAGTTCTACCTCTATGACATCTTTTAAAATTATTCTTTCTTCTCTATCTTTAGTCACCTGAACTAATATCATCAGCTCTGAGTTAGTTTTCCAGCCTCTGATCCATTGCCCATGTTGCCTTCAAAGTAAGTTTACTAAAACCAGAACTCCTTTCTTCATAATGCTGCATTGCACGTCATCTCCACCCATTGGCTTGGGGTTAAAGTGCAGATGCATAGCTTAGTATGTATTACCCTCAACAATCTGGGTTTTGTCTACCCTTCCAACCCCACCTTTGACTTTTCCTATCCTGTTTCAACCAACTGAATGGCTCACAGATCCCCCAGCATCTCACAATCCTGTGGCTAATGGCCCTTGCATAATGCTGTGCTCTTGGTCTGCAATGCTCTTCTCTTCTCCCATTCACTTCACTAACTTATAATTATTCTTCAGGATTTTATCCATCCAGAAGCATTCTGCGACTCAACTCGACATTCCTGTTTAGATTACATCTTCCTACTGTATGTCCCTTGGGAACAGGGACAGAATCATATTTGTCTTCATATCTTCATAAGAAACCACAATGAATACTACCAAATTTAGATGAGTGACAGGCTTTAGCCACATGGCAATTGCTGAAGCGGGACAGATGCTGACATCTTCATCTCAGTCTTCATCTTACCTGCGAGGAAACTGAGCTTTAGGGAAGTTAGGGTAATTGAGTAACAGAACCAAGCTCATCCTGATGACAAACAAGGACCAAAACCACATCTGTTTCTGGCTCAGAACTCTTTTCACTATTCTCTGTTGCTTCTAAGACTATTCTTTTCTTCTACATATAATAGACATATTTTTTAAAAAATGAACTTTAAAGAAGGTTCTGACACTTTCAGATGCCTGCCACCTATAAATATTTTCATTCAGAAACAAGCTATCATTTTAGTGATTTTTTTTCATTAGGTGTCCTGTTTGGTGAGCTAGCTTCAGATTGCAACTGAGAGAAAAATCAAGGTTTCATTAGAAAATATCAGGATCATATAAATTTAAAGTTATTCTAAAATTGATTATATAGTTTTTAAATTCAGTTTATTCACTCCTGAAAATGAGTCTGTGACTCAACCCAACATTCCTGTTTACATTACATCTTCCTACTGTGTGTGTCCCTTCAGGGCAGGGACAGAATCATATTTGCTTTCATATCTTCATAAGGAAACACTAACAAGTGTTAAAAGAGTTTATTCACTCTTGAAAATGAGTCAGATCATTTAATAAGATATAGAGAAAAAGGATAAAATTACCTTTTTTCCAGTGATTCATAATGAAGCAACTTTTTCTTCCCTAATTTTCCCCAGGAAATAACTGAAAATAAAAGATCACCTTTTGATTTTTTATTGTCTTTTATAATTTAGGTGCTTAAAAATTATACACATAGTTTGTAATTCATTTTCAGTATCATTCAAAGTGTAGACTCTTTTGCATAATATATTAATGTAGGCAATGACTTCCTTTTTGAATGAGATACATAGGAATCAAAATGAAAATGGTTAGTTGTCAACATCCTCATGAAATTTTAGTGCCAAAATACAATTTTTGTTTAAAAGAAAAAAAAAATTTTGCATGAAAGGAAAATTTTTTCACAGTGAGAATCATTATATATTGCCGTTGGTTCCAAAGCTATGTTTTGAAATCTCCTTTAAAGATTGAAACCAGACTAAATTATTATCTTGCTTCCTAGGGAAGCATGTCTTCCAAAAATTTAAACTTTGTGCATTGGCTATACAAACATTTTTGGCAATGCTAGCATAGAGTGGTACAAATGATAAGCTCTCTGGGGTTTGGTATATTTTCCTGCTTACTGTCTATGTAACCTCTAGTAAGTTGTTTTACCTCATTGAACCTGTGTAGTCATTTGAAAAAATGGTAGTAAAATACCCCCCCCCAATAGCTTTTGTGAGGAATTGAGTCAGATAGTGTGTAAGAGGTCTGTCCAGAAAAAGTCCAGCCATTGTTAATATAGTAAGAATTGTTCACGCAACATCAATGTAACCTAGTAGCCAAGGAGAGTGGACTGGAATTCGCATGAACAATAACTTCACTGTACTAGTCAGTGGAGGTGGTAGATGCCATTGAGTGAGCATGTGTACTGTGTAGCCGCTGCATTCAAAATGACTGAGCAAGTAGAGCAACAAGTCTGCATCAAATTTAGCATGAAGCTTAAACATTCCTCCATGGAAACTATCCAATGATTCTGAATGCTGCAGCTGTGGGCAACTGGTGATTGGCAGCTTCATCATGACAACGTGCTCACTCATACATCACATCTCCTGCAGAGTTTTTGGTGAAACATCAACTCACCCAGGTGACTCAGCCCCGCTACAGCCCAGATTTGGTGCCTTGTGATTTCTGGCATTTTAAAATACCTTTACAGTTCCTTGAGGATTCACTATCACTATCAACCACAGAACAGCCTCAAATTTAATATAGTAGACTGAGACATTTAATAAATAGATTCACCTGTTTTCCAGTTTATTCCCTGTTGAGCACGCATATTGATGGATTTCTACCATTTTCAAGCACAACCTAGTCATGACGCCCCGGGCTGCCCTGAGGCCAGTGTGACCAAGTTGAATACCGTTGTGGGTCCAGCTCAGAGGCTCTCGGGAGCGGGTCAGCCCTCAGCTCCTTTGTGTCCTCCTCAGGCCAGAGCAGCAACTCAACTGCAGCCAAGGGGGAGTGGGAGGACCTCTGGGTACCAGCCCCCTGCCCTCCTTTCTGGGGTGGGGGGGAAATTTCCACATAAGGAAGAGAAAGGAACCTAGCTGAGGAAGATTCCAAAGTTCACAACTAACCCTTTTCCCAAATGAGAAGAAAAAGGTATGGCATGTGGTAGTGCTTCACCTGGTAGGGCCTTTTTGTTCTTGCCATCTTTTGTATGTATGAAATTTCTCTTTAATTCCTTTGATTTTACGTGGACTTCAAGGTAAGCAGTAACCCACACACACACTCCTGCTGCCCTGCAGTTCTATTATGACAGTGCAATCAAACGCCATGGAAAGTGGCCGCTCTTTGTCTCCTTTAATTTCAGTGTGAGAAGTCGTTAAATTGAATTAGAAACACTGAATCATTTTAATTGCAGGAAGAAAAGCTTGGTTCGAAACATCCTTTTTGCTTATTAATTTAAGGAGATCAAAATTACATATGCCAGGTGTGTTTAGCTCCTTTACACAAAATTCTAATCCATCAAACTGAAGCTTTCATTCTAGAACCTGATATTTAAGTATTTAGGGTTTATGAAGCTTCGGAGCCGATGATGGCAATGGTCCCCGCATCCCAGAATTAATGAAACCTGAGAAAGGGAACATAGTGACTCCTCTGTGTAAACAATAATTAAGCCATCAAAGTTAGACATTAGGTCAGCCTCTTCTTTTTATTTTTAAACATTTTTTTCTTCTTTAAAATGAAAAATTAAGAACATACTGAGAAGAGAGGTACAAGGATACTGCTAAAGAGAAATGCCTGTATCTTCGCAACACCGACAGAGGTTGCTTGGCAGCATGAGGAGAACGGCAGCTTCAGAGCTCGGCACACCTGAATTCAAACCCCAGCTCTGTTTTTCCCTCACTGCGTAGCTTTGACCAAGAAAGACACTTAGCCCCTCTGAGCCTCATTCCTCCCATCGTAATGCATATGTGGAAAATAATACAGAGTAATTTTAAGATTAGATTTAATATAAATAAAATGTACCCTGAACAAAGTAGGAATGTGTTTAGTGCTGATTACTGGGGTAGGTGTAGCTGTTATTAAAGGAAGAAGATGATGACAGAGAAGGGAGAAGCAGGAATGTTATCGGTGGGAACATAATACCAATCTGGGGGGTAGGACCGATTTCCTGTTTCTTCAGAGTTCCTGTTATCCTCTGTATCCTAAGAGTTTAATCCAGTTATCCATCTCTTTCCTAATCTGGACATACAGTCTCAGCATTTACTGTCACTTTACATCACTTTCATTGAATTCACTAAGAACAATATTCTGTCTAAGCTGCTTGGTTGTATCTTTTTCCTTCAACATGTTCAGTTATCCTCTCTCTTGACACCTGATCTCCTTGTCACTCACGAGGTGCTTTTATCGGTAACTAACAGGGAGCTGAAAAAAAGACTTGTTCCATCTTTGTGCCTAATCTTTAACCAGACCAAAAGATAAGCCCAAACACTATACGAATATTCTGGAACAAGTTTTCTCCCAGTACTCTGATGTTATGTCCTGCTCATTTTGATCCCCCCTCCAACTTCCTAGGACTTAGTTTAATTTTTAGCATCCCAAAAGGGACCCCTGCTAAACAATTCATCTTTCAGGATCCAAACAAATTTTCTGGCCTTTTTATTTTTCATGGAGCTTGTGTTCAAATGAGAACCTTCTTCTAATAGCTTTCCAGCATGATAACCACGCATCCCTAGAGAGCTATACACTTTTGTAAGCTTAAGGAAAGAGGAAAAAAAAAAAAAGGTTTCCAAAGAATGTGATTAATACTCTATCCCTAAGCAAGCAATTAGATATCCTGTATCTGACACACTGGACTGAAAAACATTAATCTGTAGGCCATGCTCCCCTTTTGTGAAAGACATTGTATTGCTTCAGCTGTTTTTGCTTTATAGTAGGCAATTGTATCACTGTTTATTCTAATTAGGAAAGACCTGGATGCACCATGGGTCAGAACCCCAGCATAATGAGATATCCTATATCTTTTCTTTTTTCTTTCTCCTTCCTAGCTTTTCCAGATTTTCTGAGGAATATTTCCATATTCTCATTGAAAAACTTCAAACACCAATCTAGGGGTTAGTATCTATTTCTGGTTTTTTCAGTGTTCTGTTTTCCTGTACATCCTAGGTTTTTAATCCAGTTGTTAAATTCAGTAACAGAAAAATAAGGCTATCTTTAAAAAAAAAAAAATGAAGGCCAAATCTATCCCTTTATCCTGATAAAAGGGAGTTGGGACAGTGGGAAGGCTTGAAAACATTAATAGATTCAGCTGATGACACTCCTCTCATTCCTGTAACAGAGCTGGAGTAAGAGGTGGTCCTCTCAACTGTCCATGGACCTTCCTTTAGTACAATAAATAGTTCAGGCAAAGTCCAACTCTCTAAATGGTGTATTACATGTCAATCTGTCTTCATGAAATCAAGGCATTCTTCCTGTTGGGTACTTTTTTCTTCTTCCAGTTTGAGTATGTTCTCTCAGCGCTGTACTTTTAAGAACCATTAAAGAATTATTGTCTCACATCCTCTCTAAAAAAACAAACAAACAAAGGAGTTATAATTTCCATAAGCACATGTTTTATTTGATGTATTTTATTTCATACTGTAAGTTGGTGTTTTTCAAAGTTTGGTTCTTGGACTATCTACATTTGAATTGCCTGGATCTCTGGGCTCGAACCCAGGAATTTGCATTTTAGCAAGATTCTAGTTGGTAACTTCACACATTAAATATATAAATCATCAGGTTGTCAGGAAACTCCATGTAAGTCTCTGAGTGAGAAGAGCTACTTAATTCTTTAATGCTTATTTTTCTGAACCAAAGACAGTATCTTTCTTTTTTTGCAGCATATAGCATTTGAAACTTTCTTAGAACGAGTTGTCTGTTTCTGATCCTACATTTTAAAATCCACATAATTTTACTTGCTATACCAGAGAGGTTGGAAATAAAAGAGGATGGAGGACTAAGTGGTTTGGGATAAGGTTGTACTTGAATCACAACAGAACCGGGAAGGTGATGATGGCGACGGTGTATGCAACAAGCTTTCGCTGGTGAAATGGTAAGATGGGTGACGCGGCTATTGCCACCTCTCTCCCAAAGCCATCCTTCACACAGCCGAAGACTATCAGTGCTGCCACACTTTCTTGTTCAAAGTTGCTATTTTGCGGTTGTCTCCTACAGATCCGCAACTCGGGTCCTGCTAACAGCACAGTCCAGTTCATCTTCTATCAGCCTATCATCCACCGCTGGAGGGAGACGGATTTCTTTCCTTGCTCAGCAACCTGTGGAGGAGGTAATGATGTTGTTCACTTAGCCTAGGAACTGCTGGCTTCTATGAGGGAAGCCTTGGCTATTATGAGTAGAGTCACTTCCACATAGAAGGAATTTAGTGCTGTGGTGGATCAGATTCTTCTGAATGGGGCTGAATCCTGAAGCTCTTCTATCAGGCAGATAGCTCAGTCTAGATGCACCATAAATATTTTCTGTCTATGGAGTCCCATTAGAGGAAGCAGTCTTTACTCCTTTCCTTGATTTCATGGGAGGACAGGAAAAGAAATATTATAGCTTGACAATAGCATGGTCTGGAATAAACTACTCACCTGGTTGAAGTGAACTTACTTGTTCAGGAATCAAGTGAAGAGTGTGTGGCCTATCATATAGCATGATGGGTCCGAAAAGGATCAGAGATTAATTTAATTAAAGGAATTACTTTATTATCAGGTGGAAAAAATTATTCTATTGTAGACTTAGGCTCAGTTATGTTTCAGCTCTTGACCTCATCGTCCAGGCAGTAAAAAGAATGCCATTTGCCTTATTTGTTCATAAAAACACATCTCTTTTGAGAAGTCAGCGAATGAATTTCTGCCTCTGCTGCATCACATCTGTAATATGAACAGCATGTTGTGCCACTGGACGAAGTCCCCCCACCCTCAATTTCTGCTCTTCGTAATTATAAAGGTTACATAATAATTTCTTTGCATTATTTCATAATTTATTTAGCCATTGCCCTATAGAAGATAATTTAGTTCATTTAAAATTCTCTATTATAATGTAATAAATAACTTAATACCTAAGTATTTTTCTCCTTTGAAATTATTTCCTTGAAATAAACTGTTACCGGTGAGTTTCAGAATTTTTGTGGCTATAGGCATATATTACCAAAGTTTTTTCCAGAAAGGTAATAAGCAGTGTACAAATATTTTAGTTTTATTTCTAACTGAGCCAGTATTTGTAGATTATCATTTTTTAAAGTTTTGGTAATTTAATGGATATAAAATTGTATGTATATTCCTTTAAAAATGAGCACACCAAATACATTCTGGCTCCAGCATGATGGAAGCCTGGTTGGTTTTATGTAACTCATCCATAAAGGTATCACTAGAATATATTTTGACAAGAGAAAAGAAGGATGGTACCTCAAAATGAAGACAAATGATTAACCATTAATTTTTATAAAACAGTTAAGAACACATAACTCCTCTTTGGCTATGCAGTCTCCATCCACATAATGTGTACAAACCGCTGAACATGAGGTTCCTTACAGCAATGCTAGATTTTAACTTAAAAGCAATTCATCAAAAATAGATCAAGTGCCTTTAACCTGATTATTAAATAACTATTCTCTCAACATCTTAAGCATTTCAATAAAATAGTGTTTCCAGTTGCTCCATATGCCCTGAATTGAGAATTACTTTATTTAAAAGTGAACTGCCAATTGTATTTGTTTCATGGGAATATGTTATTTTGATTCATCTGTTAATGACTACCATAGGAAATGGTTTCAAAGAAAGAAATCAGAGAAAATATATTTTTCTTCTTTCCTTTTTAAATAAAAGCCATGTTTTGAGAGAAGTACTGATTCAATAACAGGCCCACTACGCCAGTTTCACATACAGCTGCTGTTGGAGTATATTTTCAGTAACCTTGACAATGACTTGCTATATAATAGGACAATTAATGTTAGATTCATACACATCCCTTCCCCATGGGCCTTATTTGATTCACATCTAAGAGAAGAAGTAGAACCACCAGTGGTTTTTAAATGTTTTGAGCTATCAAACCCTTTCTTCAAAACAAAACAAAACGAGTCTTACTTGGGAGCCCAGATAAAAGGAATACGTATTGTTCAGAATGAAAATGTACAGGATATGGAAACCAGCCTTCATGGATCACAGTTTAAAAATTACTTAAGAAATGATCTCTAAATTCCCTTTTATGTTTCTAGTTCCAGATTCAACTGGTTGACCATTTTGCTAAGTGTAAAGAATTGCTATTCCAAATACCTTGTGAAACTTTAGAAAACACAATTATCTGGCCATATTGGTCATTTATTTAATATTCTAAACTTTAATTTTATATACTCTAAAATAGCTACAATGCAACATTTTATGCTGACAAATTATGATTTCTAAATATCACAATCTCAAATTTATAATTTACTCAGTGCTTGTGCTCACATTTTACTACATGACAAATTCTGTTCTTGAGCACAAATTATTTTATGGAAAATTAGAAAATGATTAGCTTATCGTAAACTTATCGGCTGTTGAATATAACATAATTAGAAACTAAAGATATATTTATTTGTATAAAATATCATGTTGCTTTTTGATTTTCTTATAAAGCAAAAAATTAAATGCAACATGTGTTTTCACCCATTAACTTTTTGTGCTTTTCATCTTTACAGTAAAATTGTTAAAAGGTCTTTTTTTAGGTCTTTAGTGAACATTTAAATTTTGTGGGTGGTCTGAGAAAACAGCCTCAAGCCAGTAAACCTGGTTTACAAACCTCCACCTGATTTCCTAAAATATTTTGCAAGACTTTTAAATACTCTAAATCTGCCTTTCTAACATGTATTTAGCAACAACAGTGTTCAACCACCTGCTACAGAGCATATATTTTGGTGTTAGTTAGGGTTAGAATGATACAAAAAATTTAATTAAAAAATATCTTCTATGTACAATTATTTTTCACCCCAACAATCTAAGTCCTTATCAGCACCTTACCAGAAATCCACAAGACAAGAAAGGGGCAGGTAAAAAAGGTAAAATGCATGATAAATAAAATTAAGTATTACTCAGCAACACTTTTTTCCCAAGAGGATTCTCTAAAAAGTGGAAATTTGTGCATGGCAACTAAGACATATTGGCTAAAAACATAAAGAGAAATGACAAACAATTTGGAGTGAAGCAGAAATTACAAAGTTGGAAGGTTTTTTCTTTGATTCATGATGGCTACTGTTAAGATCTTAATCATCCATTTGTTCACTTTAACGCTGTTCAGGTTGAATTTAGGTGAAAATAATGTAAGGCAGCTGGCAGGACCTTATCCTGTGCTATATTTCATTGTCACCCATTGACCAAGGGGAGCAGTATTAGGGTTTATTTTATTTATTTATTTATTTATTTATTTATTTATTTGGGCGGGGGTTTTTTCTTGTACCCCATGTATAGTAGAGTAAATTTTTCATCCTTCAGTGAGAGGGTCAGTAAATAAATACCGATGATCTCTTTGGGATACAGAATCTGTGCTACACTTTTCTATTTTACAAAACAAATTAATAAGAATAGTTCTTATGATAGCCTCTTATAAGCTAGTTATGCTCGTATGTAGTTCAAACTCTATAGCATGATTTAAGAAGAAAAATACAGTATTTGAGGCCTGTAAAAATCAATGAGCCTTCCATTTATGTCTTTTGTCCTCAAAATGACTGGCACATCAGGGAAGAATTTCCTTAATGTGAGATAACCAAAAAAAACATGAATATATATATTATATTCACATGTGTCTTTAAACTCACCTGTATGGTTTGGTACTCTAGGCTACCAGCTGACATCGGCTGAGTGTTACGATCTTCGGAGCAACCGTGTGGTTGCTGATCAATACTGTCACTATTACCCAGAGAACATCAAACCCAAGCCCAAACTTCAGGAGTGCAACCTGGATCCTTGTCCAGCCAGGTCAGTCAGATTTACCAGTTCATCTATTGTAAACATAAACTAAGTTTCAAATAAGTTTCTTATATTAATTTTTAATTAAAAATAAGTAAATGTACCTGTCTAGTATCCTTTCCTAGCCATGTGTTATTAGTGCCCATGTTCCTCGTTCTTGCGGCTATTTGATGCCACCCCAGGCTCTACAGGTTTTCCATCCATTAAGCTACACGTGAAGCACTCTCGGTCATTTTCTCTCCTGATTTTTTTCATTATGGTTATTTGTTTCTCTCCGTAACAATGACCAGGCTAATGGACCCTACAAATGTGATGGCACAATATTCTCAGGAGTCTTTCCATTTCAACTCTGTCACCTAAGCAATAGCATGATCACAGCAGACCCATTCAGAGTCACAGCTAATCCATTTTCCATAAGTTTAATTAAAATCGAAACCAGTCTTAGAACAGTTCCATACTTGAACAAACTCAGTCATTGCTAAAGAAAAAGCAGGACTTATTTCCAACAGTCAAAAAATTGCAAAGCCTTTTTAATTAGGAGCTTTAAAGAGACACTTGACACTTTCACATATTGTTTGCCTTTTGGAAACTATAATTGGCCCTCAATTATATGCAGGATCAAGCATCAGACTGACAAGTGAAATATCTCAGGGGAGTAGTAGTAGTAGTGCAAGTCAAGAATCTTGTCATGAGTGTAATATTTGCCTTTGCAGTTGCAACACTTCCTGGTAAATCTCTTTGTTAGCTTACTCAGCCCTAGTATATAAGAGGATATAAGAAAACACTTCTACAAAACTAATCACAGAAACCAAAAGACAAAGAATTCTTTCCCAAACTACTTCAATTTCTGAGAAACACCTCAATGTTATTTTTTAAAAAACACGGTTCACCAAATACATATGCATAAACAAAACTTGGAATAGTTAATATTACATGAGCAATGTGGATGAAAATCATTCTATCTTGGAATTGTAGGCAATGAAGATTTAGGTTTTGCTTTCTGCTTTTTAAAGTTTACTTCTACCCCTCTGCCTCACATTCGTGAATTCTAAATTCTACATGTGATGTGAAATTGCCTATTTCATATACCTAACTCATGAAAGTAAACTCAGAATGATAGGTTTCTATGCAAGAAACAGAAAGAATAGATATTTTGTAATTATATAATTCAGGTGCAGATTCATTTAGTTCATATTATACCAAAAAATTATGTATTGAAAATTTTATATGCTATAAAAATTGAATGAGGTATCAGAAGTTTGCTTGGATGTCTTTATTTTGGAAATACTAAGGTATGAAGTATTATTAGCCAAGATAATTACACCTAATGTAATTCAACCCTAGTTTAAAATTATTCTACCAATTATACATCTTTATCCATATCTACACCAGAAAGACCAGTGCATGAAAATCATAGTTAACCCAATTCAGAGAGGTTGGCTCATCCATAGAGAGACTTTGAAAGTCTTATACACACTTCCATAAAAATGCATGTGTATTTCTAGGAGAAATGAGGGGTTCACTCCCATTACTATATAAAGCTTTTCCTCACTGGAAGAAAAAAGAAAAAAAGCCTTCAGCAAAGAGATGACCATGGAAGACAGTTGTAAAATAAAAGCATCATATTAACCATCTTAAGAAAATGTTTTTATCAGAAAAAAAACTATGCAATTTTTCTGGCTTTTGATTTTTACCTATATTCTCTGTTGGAATAATATTTGTGGCCTATTTCTTAATATCCAAAAGCAAAAGGCCATTCTACACCGAAAGAAGTTTGCCTGTGAAATGTATGCTTTTTCTGCATCTCATGTTATTTTAAAACATCTAATACAGCACATGTATAAATGTTAGGACAGGTGGCTGTTTAAAAAAAAAAGGAGAAAGAAAAAATAAGTTAGAGGCACATGTCAGAAGCTGCTTTTTTATTTCAGAAGTAATTAAACAAAGCTGTAAAAATTAATACTTAGCAGTAGGAGAAGTTTAAGAAGAATCTGCTTTGGGAAATACAGATATGCTCCTCTAAGGTTAAGACACTTCAGGATTGCTGTGAAACCATTGAGTCATTTGCATGCTTGAGATCAAAGCAGTCTTTCTGAATTCAAAAAGAAAATAAGAAATGATAGTCTGAGAAGAGAAGATAAATAGACTATAGGATAGGTCTGCCATCTCATCAGACATAGCAGAATCAAACCCTCAAGAAACTGTTTGCTAACTACAGATTTAACTAATAGTGAAACCAGGAGTGATGCAATGCTATTATACCAATGCCTTTGTGTCCAAAATTAAAAGCCCCCCAAAGGGAAAACATAGACAACCTTAGTACAAATAAAGTCACATATTTTTGAATTTCAAGAGAAATTTATTTTATCTAGCCAATGAGATATTTGTTCACTTATCTCGTGTATTAGACTAGCATTTTTGGCCTATTATATATTATTTGAGAACAAGTGTCATCAGGTAGCCACACTTATTCTGTGAAGATTGGAAGAACCATAGAGAGCAAAAAGGTCATGAAATAATTAAGTTTGTAACCCTAGGTTTATTATTTTACCCTTCTGGGCCTCAGTTTTCTTCCCCACAAAATGAGGGTAAGAAGATTATTTGTTGCATTAAATTAGTGGTTTTCAAACTGCACCTACAGAGCCTGTTGTTCCACAGAGTTGTTCTGTTAAATTTCATTTTGTATATTTTGAACTATCTAAACAAAAACTCACAAAATGTGTTCAAGCATGTCAAACTAATTTTAACCTATTTAGCTAAGTTTTTTTCTTTTTTTAGCAATTTCTATATATTTAGCTAAGTTTTAAAAATTGTTATAACAACTGTAAAAATGTTATACTCCCAAAGTAAATGCTTATTGTCCTCATTGTTAAATTCTTCAATTATGTCAGTTTAATTGAAAAATTAAATGTCCTAAGATTGCAAGGTGAGCTGTAAAAACTATTACCATTAGCAACTACTTCTCTGTGATGAGAATTTTTCATTACTACATGTATAAAACCAAAACAAACTGGACATGACAACCAGATTAATCATAATCCTCAATATCCAATTTTTCTATTTACCAAATAGCCTCTCTGTTGTAATTAATTTGCTTTAAAATAAGTAAATGTTATATATGTGAACTAATGAATGACATGACTTACTCATTCACTCATCAACAATATCCACTGGCCTCCAACGTTGTGGACTGGTTCATCTAAAGGTTCTTCGAGTTAAAAAGATTATTGACATCTAGCCTATTCTTTTGAAAATAATCGTTATGTTTTTATGGTGTTTTTCTGATTCTTAATGTTAACTTAGAAATATTGATGAGTTAGAAAGCTATGATGAAAACAATATAACTCACTAATAATCTCCGGTGTTCACAGATAACTCTATTAATGCTTTTGCTATATTTTTATATTGTCTATAGCTCATAACACAGATGAAATCACGCAGTATACAATAGACACTTCAAATTCAGTGACTTAGCATTCTTGGTTTCTACTACTCTAAAGAAAGCTTGAACGTCCATGACATGTAGTGAGTTGACATTTTGCTAAGACAGGAATTTGAGTCCCTTACACTGCAAGAGCAACAATGGAGCCTACCTGGCACCCAGCAGATCCGCCCCAAGAGAGCTTTATTCCTATTTGCTGGTGTTGTTTAGGCAGTTATTTTCATGAAATGATAAAACACTTTGTTTCCTAGCCACAAAGGTCTCAAAAAAGGAACCAAAACTTAATGCTTATAATAGGAAGAAAGAGAAAGTAAAGTTAAAATTTATAGGCTTTTAGCTAAAATTAAATGTTTTTTGATGTTGACTTGGAGCAATAACATTACTAATCCTATCATATGCTCCCTCTACACAGTGTAGCACATGTTCTGGTGGTATGCCAATGTGTACACTCCCAGAAGTCCAGGGCATGCCCCTCCCGTGGGTCAGGGATCCACCTCTTGTTTAACTTGTTTCCTGCTTCATTAATTTAATACTATAGTAGGCGCCCTTTCCCAAGTAGCTAAGGCACTTGAAATCTAAGCAAATGTAATATTCCCTCCTGTGCTTGCCACACTGCAGGCATAGCTCTGTCTTACACAGGGGACATTTATTTTTAATGCAGTGCCTGCTGGCTTGTGCAAATCATGGACCAAATCATGAACAAAATCTCAAAATTGAATCCTAATGCAACTTCAGAGAAGTCATCTGCATCATGAGAGGCAGGATGTGTAGTAGGCACATACCAATAAAAACCTGGTCGCACTAACTAGGTGCCTAACTAGTCCAATGGTGATGCGGCCTGGTAGTTAGGAGGGAGCTTTGGAGTAAAGCAGGCTGGCTTGGGATCCTGGCTCTGCTACTGACTGGTTGAACAGCCTTTGGCAAATTACTTCTTCACACTAAGCCTCAGTTTTTTCATCCTGTGAAGTGAGGATAATAACACTTCTTACCTCATAGAGTTGTCATGTGGAATAAAAGGCACAATACATTTAAAGAGCTTAGTAGAGTGCCTGACACACGATAAGCACTCAATAAATGTTAGTTGGTGCAGCTTTTATGACTAAGATCATGATCATGATAATATTAATGTTCCTCAGAGAAACTTCTAAACTCTAGAAATCAGCTTTCTCCCTCATGAAAGGAAAAGATAAAACTCTAGAATTACCTATGTGTCTAAAAAAGGTAGTTCTACAGTTCTTATTTTTACAATAAGAGCAAGAAGTACCTAGGAAATATCTTTATGAAAGTAAATCACATTTATCAGAATTTTTAATTATGTATTAAAAACCATGAAAAATTAAGATAATTAACATCTCCTGAAATAAATTAGTTGTCTAATAATCCCCCCTAGACCAGCTGTGAGACATTGTCATGTAATTCACATGGGATCTATGCCATGTTCTCTCCAAAAAAGGAGAATTCAAAGTAAAATCTAGAAAATGGTTTTCGATTAAAATATAATATAATGGTTTCCTAATCACAGAAGGCTTTTTTTGTTTTATTACAATAAGTAAGTGATCAACCTCAT